CTGCTTTTCTCAATTAGAAGGGTGAGAAGATTTAGAAGATTCACCTGAAGCACAATCAGAACTTGATTACGTGTTTGTAAGGTTCGACTGATCCGGTGATTCCTGATGAGAACCTAACCAAGTTCTGATCCAGCAGATCGGATCCGAAAAACTACAGGCGGGTTCAGATCAAGTTCTGATCAGGTAGGCACGATCTCACTCTGAGGTCGGTTTCCTGAGCCCAATTTGATCAAATTCCGATTTGATGTCTCTGATCGACATTTGAACAGGGTTAATTGAAGAGAAAATGATCAGATTCAGATCCGGTCCACCTGACATTAATTTCAATAAATTTTTCTGATAATTTTTAACTATTATTATACTATTCAAATTAAGTTTTATCAACCATTATCAATAATTATTTTCAATCTTTAAAAAGGATCATTATACTATAATTAAAATAAATTAAATTAAATTAATTCAATTTAATGAATTTAATTTAATTAATCAATTTAATTAACATCCAGCCCTTCTCAAATATACAGAAGGGAGGGATGATGATACCGTAAATGCTTATTAGAGGAGTATCAAACTTACACGCAAATGATCTTGAGAAAAAAATCACCAAATGTCTATTTATTTATTAGTGTTATTGTTATTATCATTATTATTATTTATTAATAAAATAAATAAAAATTTAATTGAACATATTTTATCTCTGAGAATACACACGCATATCCGTGAGATCAGGAATAATCGTAAATTCAACGAATATCCCGATCCAAATCATATAGGCAATGTACAGTTTACTCAATAGCGCGATAGCGTAGTGATTAGGGCATAGAATTAGCAATCATAGGGTCTTATGGATTTCGAAGGGCCTTATGGTTGTGATAGTACGAATCAAATAACATATGCATTAGAAGATCATGAGGGTCAGGCGGGATCGTATAATTGAATTGAAAATTTGGGTTTCACATTCATCAACGAGTTCTAATTATTTCTGAAATCACTCAATTTCTTTCTGATTTCTACTGATTTCCGATGATTTCCAGACGTCATTAGAAATCACTACTGGAAGTGGAAATCACTTGATTTCCAGTGATTTCTTCCTTGATTTCCAATCGAGTGGTCCAGAGATTTCCTAAGCGATCAGCTCCTCGGATTTCTCACATTTGACATCGGTAACCAATTTTAGAAATAACTTTCACAATTTTTATAATTACCAATCACTTCGAGAAAATTTTCAAATACTTTATCCGCCAGCAATCATATTGAAGAAACTTACAACTATTTTCACAATTAGAAATTATGATTGACAGTGTAACACTTATTACTTATTAATAATTTTCATAATGGTACAAAAAGTAATATAGGTGCTCCTATCCCACCAAGATGCTGGGTGTAGGTACAAGGATCCAGTAGATTCTTCGTCTACTGTACAGCTTTGCGGTTGCGTTTCTCATTTCTGAGTTTCTTCATGAGTTCCGCTGCGAAATTGCTCGTTGCATTCCAGACTGCCTTCAATGAGCTTCCATCAAGCTCTCAGGCAATCGTTTCTTCGTCGATACCTCTATCGGCGATGCATCCTCCAACACTGAGTGGTATGCAGTTGCAGCTCTGAGCCCCGACGTGATCACCGATGATAGCAGCGCTCGTCTTCTTTGCTTAGGACCTCCTATATTGGGTATGAGATGCGATATCCGAGGTAGGGAAAAACGAACGGGCTGGGCTTGGTCCAAGTATGGAGACCGGGCTGCCAGAGTTCGGGGCCCGTTGCTCAGCCGGGGTCCAAGTCGGGGCGCGAATCTCGATCCAGCGTTGGTTGCCAGCCGTTGGCCAGGCTCAATTAAACATTATTTAATTACATGAATATGATATGGGTGATTGAAATACAAGTAATTCAATATTACTCCTAAGCATTCGTGACAGGTTCAAAGAGAAAAAAAAACAATAACAGTATGCGACTGGCATCAGGCTGGCTGCCAAACGATTCATGACAATTATCAATAATAACAAAAACAAAATAATTAACACTTTTTAGGATGATTTTTACTATTAATTTCGACCTACCTACCAAACGCTAACGGAATCATTGTTGAAGACCAATTTTATTAACTCAAAATATTAGCCTAACTGGGGCCTTAAACCGACGACCTCACGACTACTAATTCGACGCCCGAACCCGGTTTTTAAAAATGAAAAACATGTTTATCCAGCCAAATAATTTTTACATATGTAGAAAGGTAATATGGATGTTCTTAATGCTTCTGGAAACCTTGATCTTTTTCGACATGAGCGTTTTATTATCCAGTGTATAGAGATCTATATATATATATATTTTTTTTACGGCCTCGAAGTCCCCTTTTTCGGGTCCCATTCGGCACTCTATCCAACCCTATGCATGCGGCTGTGGATTCTACACTGTACCGCATTCGCACTTCTATAGAACATAGAAGTAGCATGGGGAAACCACAGAAAACCCATGCCGGTCCAGACGGTTCCTCTATTAGCAACCTCCCGCTCGCCGGAGCCTTCCGTTGAAAAATTCGGTTCTACGGGGAATCGAACTCACAACCTTTCGCACACTAGACTTGCGTATAATCCACCCGGCCACCGACGTCGGTGTATAGAGATATTATGTTGTGGAAAAGTTGTTCGACCAAATTTTATAAATTATTTCGTAGTTATTGGCCTCTGTGGTTATTTAATAATTAGCGAATAACATGTGATTTCAATGTCTACAATGCCACCTTGACCATTTTTTTGTTACGATTACATTTGTAAAATTTTATCCGCATGATTCCACCCTTACCATTTTACTCTTCATATATTTTCTATATCAAATAGATACACTGAGAAAAAAATTTATTCCTTCCAAGAAAATGTTATTGGTGATATCTTTTTCATACTCTTAGTAGAAGAAAATATCTCTTTTGGAACGTATTTCTCCAGGCCAGTCATTTCCAGGTGCTCCGAAATCAGTTCCAAGCGTGAGAATTATGGTGATCTATAAGAATATTCTTCTGCATATGACCTCGAAGAAACTCCAATAATAATTATTAACATTTGGAATTATTCCAATTTTCTTTACCTGAGAAAATCGCCAATTTGTAAAATCCGGAAGATATCGGAGAACATTTTGTCAAGGTCATATGTAGCATAATAATCAAATTGTTCAACATCACTGTAATTTTTGAGGATAGACTTGGACTCTCTGAAAATGACTGTCCTGGAAAAATTCGTTCTGAAAAAATATTATCTTCTGACGAGAATATCAATCCTTGGCAGGAATAATTTTTTCTCTCAGTGTATATCTGGAACATGTATTTATGTTACATTTTGCTTTTGTATTTAAAATATCTCTCATCTATCTGATATATATGGAAACTATATTCATTCCATGTATGTTTCATCTACGCTGTGCATATACCGGGGTTGTATCCAACATATATCCATTATATACATGGCAGATATGGATGAAATACACCAAAATATCTTTTCCAATTTTTTGTTTCCTTGATGTGACGAAAGTTTTTCTTTGTTTTACATTTACCAATGCCTCCCTCCTTCACAGAACATCAACAATAATTTAAAAAAACTAAAATAATTATAAAAAGTTTGCCTTGCGCCTCAACCAATATGAACAATAACACAAAGGTAAGCAGATCTTGCCAGAAGCCAACGCGGACCTCTAGACCGTTTTGAAACATTTTTACGAACATTCGCAAATAATTAAGAAAATTTTCACAAATGACAACATGTCACGATTATGTTGAAAGATCCGTCTCCGATGCTCCGTCCTTCCGCTGGTCCGGTTCCACCCGCATTCGCGCTGTTCCTCTTAGTCTCTCCCATCCCTGTTGCGGCCATTTCCATCCTCCAACATCTTCAGCTCGTCCTTCTCTGGCCGCCCCTTTCGATTTCCAGTTCTTTTGATCAATTGCCTCTCAAGGTTTACCTCAATCAAGATATGCACTGCCATACCGCCAAAATTGCATTTCCTCTCCAAAACGTCCGCCTCAGCTTTACCTCAGCCATAACTTTCTCTCCTCACTATTTAGCGTTACTGCCATCGTTGTATGCTGATTCATTTTTTTTATTCATATTTCTTTTCCTACTACCATTACGATTTTATAGACTCTCCATTCATCTGCCTTGCCTCTCCCACTTCTCTTCTTTTTTTTTCTGCATTACCATGGGCCGTCTTACTCTTAACTGTACCCCATTCGGGCTAGGACTGCAGGGAAAACCATGGGATACCCCAGTTGTACAGCCGGCCGCTTGTGCAGAGCCCTAATGTGCCCTTCTGCCACACTGACTAGAGGGGCACATTAGGCCACTGCACCGTGCCTACTTTCCGAAATTTTTGAGCGAGGGTGTTCCTAAGCGGTCACCCATCTAAGTACTAACCGCGCTAAACGCAGCTGCACTCGGATGTCCGCCGAAGCAACACCTAACTCACCCAACCATTATGGTCGGTTCTGTATGTTGATTCTTTCACAGCTGTTACGTGCCTCATATTTACTGCCCTTCAGCCTTCCACTTCATTCAAGATTTATGGAAATTTCACTCATTTTCGGGTCACACAAAAATCTCCCTTGTAGCCTCCTCACGATATACCCATTATTCATTTCACCATTCAAATAATAGTCACCTTCTTTTGTTTACCCGTTACCATAATCCTCCTCTGCCTCCCCTGCTCCCTCCAATTCATCTTACTTTCCTCAGGTGCCCCAGACTTCGGCCAAACCATGTTTCTGCCTCCGTGGTACTGATGCCCAAATTCTCCATCTCACAGGTTGCCTCGTGGCCACTCCATCCGTCCATCCAAACCTTGCCCAACTTCTCTTATTTCGGGTTGCCTTTTTTTTTTACGACTGTCAATTTCAATTTTTCATTTTTCGGAATTTAATTTACATCATCACCGCTACCTTATAATATTTTCCACTCTCTAACCGCTAGATATCTCGCCTGTCTCCATCGTTCTTGCCCCTCTCTATCCCCTCGCATACACCTCAATGACTTCATCCCCTCTCTGCAGGGGTTTCTTCAGGATTATAGCTCCAAGGTTCAATGCCGATCAGCTGTCCATGAGCAACCCTGATGCGGCTCTGGTGCGTTCGCTTTGCTCCGATTTTTCTCTGAGCCTTGTGCCGCACGTTGCCACTCATCATACTCATGGCTCAGACTCTTGGCTTGATCTGTGCCTGATTGATCATGATGACACGCTTCTATCCTACTGAAAGACAGAGGCCCCCTTTGTGGATGATCACGATCTTATCACTGCAACAATACAGGCTGTCCTGCCTCGCCCATCTGTGAGTAAGGACTTCATTTACAGGGATTTTGCCGCTCTGGATCTTGATGTGCTATTGTCGCAGCGTTCCAGGAGTGACTGGTCGGTGTTCGATGGCCTGTCGTCTCCAGACGAAATGACTGCATGTCTGGGCGGTAATCTTGGAGTCGCCATGGACGCTGCTGTCCCGCTCAAGACGGTAAGAAAGTCCTCGAAGCGCAAGCCGTGGTTTACTGATGGGATCATTGCTCTTGTAGCGAAGAGAGATCGCCTGTACCGTATGTACAAACGTACTCACTCTCGTCAGGCACTCTTAACCTATCGCACGGCTCGTGATCGTGCTCATCGTGAGGTTGAGGCGGCACGTCAACTTTTCTTCCAGCGAAGGCTGGAGCCTCTCTCTGACCCTTCGCTTATCTGGAAGGAGCTCAGAAGGCTTGGTGTGGTGACTGGGAATGACTCAACACCCGATTTCGATCCTGACGTCTTGAATTGTTGCTTTGCTGGAGTGTCCTTTGACGAGACAGAGCCTTCGCTGGATGGGTTCTTGGCCTCGGCTGAGCTAGGGGCCATCCCTCCCGCCGTGGGTTTCTCCTTCAGGCCAGTCACTGCTGATAAGGTACAGAAGGCTGTTCGGCACTTCTCTACCGAAGCTAAAGGGACTGATGGGGTTCCCAGATCGGTGGTTGTGGCTGCCCTGCCGATTCTAACACCTTATCTAGTGATGCTCTTTCACATCTCTTTCGCTCGGTCCTGCTTTCCCTCTGAATGGAGGAGGTCCCTTATTGTTGCGCTTGGCAAGGTGAAAAACCCTGTGTCACCTAATGACTTCAGGCCAATTGCCTTGCTCTGTTTCCTCTCCAAGGTGCTGGAGAAACTTGCTTCCCAGCAAATCTCCGGCTTCCTTGCTGAGCGCTTCATTCTGGACTCCCTGCAGACGGGTTCTCGTCCATTCAGTGGGATGCAGACGGCACTATTGAAACTGACAGACATTAGGACGGGTATTGACAGACAGCAGCTGACGATGCTGCTGTTATTCGATTTCAGCAAGGCGTTCGATTGCGTTTGTCACGTGTTGCCGTTGCGGAAGCTGTTAGGCTATGGCTTCTCAGCTTCTTCAGTGAGGTGGCTTGCATCATATTTGGGTGGTCGTTCGCAGGCTACACTAGGCTGGGCGAGTGGTTCTTTATCCTTCTGTCATCTGAACAGGGGAGTTCCGCAAGGATTTGTTCTAGGTCCTCTGTTATTCCTCCTGTTCATTAATGATGCTGGTGTAAACTTAGGGCCTGGAGTTCGGCATCTGATATATGCTGATGATCTCCAGATTTACCTGACCTTTCCACGTGAGGAGATAGAGGATGCCATTCGCCGTATGAGCAACGCTGCTAACCGTGTGACAGACTGGGCTAATGCAAATCGGCTGAAGCTGAATGTGGCGAAGACGAAAGTCATCATTTTTGGCTCTAATGTCTTCGTTAACGATGTCTATTCCTTGCCCGGTTTGTCTGTCAACGTTGGTGGCTCTGCAATTCTGTTTGATACTTCCGTGCGCAGCCTGGGAGTGGTTCTGGATAACAAGCTCTCTTGGAAGGGACATGTGGCGCATGTGACGCAGAGGGTTCACTCTGTTATGTACCGCCTTCGGTTCTTTAAAGCCAGTACCACTCTGGGTCTGCGTAAACACCTCATTCAGGCTTTGGTGTTCTCCCTGATCGACTACTGCCGTCTCGTGTATGATGGTCTGTCTGGTGTACTTGCTACTATGATTCAGCGTCTCATCAATATGACGGTTAGATACATCTTTGGGCTAAGGAGAGACGAGCACATCACTCCCTATCGTCTGCGGCTTGGCTGGACGACGTGTGAAGTGCGCAGAAAGTACTTCCTTGCGTTCCTCACTTACAAGATCCTCCGCTTTGGTCAGCCGGTGTATCTGGCTGACTTTTTTGTGGCCAGTCGGGCCGTGCGGCCGGTGAGGGGTGAGGTGACTCCCCTTATGATCAAACCTTTCAGGACTGAAGTCATGCGATCCTCCTTCCACGTGTCTCCGGCTTATTTATGGAACTCAATTCCCTCTGCAGTGCGGGACCTTCCCACACTGTCGTCTTTCCGATTAGCTGTGCGGAATTATCTGAGGGACAACTCTTAATGCTTTTCCTACCCTTTGCTCTCCTCTTATCACTTTCCCTCCCCCTTTTGTCCCTGTCTTCCTATCCCTTCTTATTCTTACACTCTTCCCTCTTTTATCGTTACCATTCCGCACTTGCTATTCATCCGTTTGTTTGGGACCCGCCGAAGCTTGCTCTTTCTGTTGCATATTACTCCTTCTCATCTTACTCTGTATTTTATGTATCTATTATTATTAGCATGTATTGTTTACTCCATGATATTCACTGTGATTTACTGTATACCAGCTTATGTGGTTTTGCCACCATAATTTTATACAGCATAATGTACAGCAATACACTCAATCAATCAATCAAGCAATCAAAACGCCATCTAACCTCCAAATTGCCAGCCGCCAACGATCCATTGAAAAATCTCAAAAAGTTATTTTCCCCTCCACTTTATTTCACCAAAAAACCATAATTTGGTACCAAAACCGACGGAGCCTTCAGCCACTCCACCACCTCTCACGAGCGCCACCACCTCTCCCACACCAAAATGTATATGTCCAGAATACATAAGTAATGCATACAGCATACAATAAGGAAGTCTATGATGGCGATATATGATGGATATACTCTAAGTATATAATAATAGTATAATAATAGTAGTATGTAATATTAAGTGTATGACTTAATTCTCGGCCTTTTTTCGACAATTTTGACATTTATTTATGGAAACATGAATGCAAATCTAATCTTGAAAATAATCGCCGTCACTTTGCACGCATTTCTCCTATCTATCGGGTAATTGTCGGATTCCGGCTCGGAAAAAAGATGGTAGTTTTGACTGGATGAAGTCATCAATGCTCTGCCGGACTTCTTCAGGAGATTGGAACTGGGTATCCACCAGGTGATGTTATAGCGCCCGAAAAAGGTGATAGTCAGAAAGCCCAACGTCTGGAGAATACGCCGCATGTGGGAGAATTTCCCAGCCCAACGTGGGAAACTTTCAGGGTTTCTTTTGCTGTGTGTGGCCGCGCGTTGTCCTGCAGCAAAATTACTTGCCTCGTATCACTATCAGTAAAAAGTCTCTTTTTCTCAATAGCATCACTCAATTTCACCAGTTGGTCCTGATAACGCTCAGCAGTGACGGTTTCCCCCTGTTCGAGTATCTCATAACAGATTATACCTTTGGAATCTCACCAAATACACAACAACAATTTTTTTCCGTGAATGTTCGGTTTTGCAGTACTCGTTGACGGTTCCCCCGGAAAAACCCATGACTTTCGCCTCTTAGGATTGTCGTAAAATATCCTTTTTTCATCCCCAGTCATAATTTTATGTAGAAAGTCTTTTTGTTTGAATCTGGTCAGTAGGCACATGACAATTTCACAGCGTCGGCTTTTGTTTTCTGAGGTAAGATGATGGGGCACCCAACGACCTTCCGTCTGTATCCTCCCAATTCCTTTTAAACGCCACGAAATAGGTGATTGAGTCACTCCGAGAGTATCTGCAAGCTTCTGTTGTGTTTGACAGGGATTTTCATTGACTATGACGATCTTCATCCTGGAGATCAAAATTTCCATCCCGAAATTTTTTAAACCATTTTTTACATGTGCTATAAGATACAGAACTCTCTCCCAAGACCGAACAAATCATTTCTTGTGTTTCTGCAGCAGTTTTACCAAGTTGGAAGATGAAAATAAGGGAGTGCCTCAAGTGCTGCTTGTTGAACGACATCTTTATTTACTATGTTTTTTGAGGTTGTATTAATCGGACCACAATCGGACTTGAGTGGTTTGATAGCTCACAGATGACGCTTCAAAACGCCCTTTATTGCAGGAAAATTTTTTAATTCAAATAGGTGTACTAATGTACTAATCAACTTAATCTATAGGCCAAGAATTAAGTCATACACCTAATAGTACATAGAGGATATATATATATATATATATATATATATATATATATATATATATATATATATATATAT